CTCTTAGATGTCATATGTTAGTTTTTCTCCCCACTGTTTTTTCCCTTCATGTTTCAGTTAGGATAATTTCTCCTGACCTATCTACAATTTCATTGATAATTTTCCTAGCTATGTTCAATTTGCTGATGTGCCCACTGAAGGAATTCAGCGCTAATATCACATATATTTTTATATTTCTATCATTTAAATTTGCTTTTCTGTATAGTTTCCATTTCTGTGTTGAAGTCCCCACTTACTGGTAATGCATGTTGTCCATATTTTCTACTAGATCCTGTAACATGTTAATTATAGTTATTTTAAAGTCCTTGTCTCATTATTCCAACAAATACACAGATTTGTCAATTGTTTCATCTACTAACAATGGTTTATTGTAACTTGCTTTTTTATACAAATTGTAATTTTTGATTGAATGCTAAATATCACATGGAGAATAGTAGAGAATGAAGTAAATTGAATTCACACCTGGAAATGGGCAATGTTCTTCTTTATTTATGCTATTACTACACACTGTTGATATAATCTAGTCAAGATTGTGCTTTCTGTTTTGTTGTTGCTATCATCACCGTAGGGCATTTCACACTTCATATTCCTTAAAATAGAGGTTAGCCACTATTACCTGTACTTAGAGTGGGGCTTGTGCTGCCAGAATTCTTTCCTCAGTATTCTTGCTTCACTTTGATCTTTCAGCAGCCCCTGCTCACCTATGCACAGAGACAGTCCCTCTCAACACTCTTGTCTCTCCCCCAGCACTACTCTGCTCTTTGTTTATTATTCAAAATAGACTCATCCTCTGTAGTAAGGTAAAGGGAGGTCTATGTTATAATGATCAGTCACAGCCATAGGCAGACTGTGTTCTATAGTCTCAAGATTGGAACTTTCTGAGAATCCCTGCCCCTCCACATGGCAGCCAAACTGTGCCTTATATCTGTAGTTACTCTTATACAGAAGATGATTTTCTGACACTTGTACCTGGCTTCTGATTGTTATCCAGGCAGGATCCTTGACTCAAGACAGAGTATCCTTCCCCTTCCCCATGGGCCAAAGGTTTTTGTTTTGATCTTTCCCTCACTGACAAAGGACCTTCTGCTACATCTACCTCTCACCCACAGGGAGACTGCTTTGCTTTCTCTCCCTTTCCCCACAAAGTAAGATTTGTTTGCCTGGGATCAGGGTGACAGAGAGCGTTCTGCCCCTCTGAGTATTATAATTTTCCTAGTATCATCAACCAGCAGCATAATGCTTTTGCTTCTTGTTAGAGAAGGCTCCAGAGAAGTGGACAGGCCTTTGTGCCTGTCTCCCAGAAACAGCTGATCATCTGGTACATACTAGACCACTAACTGGACCTTCATTTTCCTGAACAGTATTTCCCTGAACAACTGGTAAGCATCCATGGAAAACAGCTTAAATAAAATGATTTATGTTTTAGACTTCCAGATATTCCAACTTGACAGGCTGGTTCATACCTGGTCCTTTAAGAACTTATTATAATTTTAGTTAATTTATTCTTACCCTCTTGTATCGTGGTCACCTCTTTCTCCTGTGCTCTGCTAAAGGTCAAAGACTTTATATGCTCCATCTCTCTTGGGAGGGGCCTATCATTCTTTGGAATCTAGTATATTGGTCACTTGTGACCTCAAATCTCTAATGAAGTCAGGAAAAAATATGATTCTGTATATTATCTACCTTTTTCCATTGCAAAGGTGTGACCAATATCTATATTTTAAGCTGAAATGGAACTCCAAAGAGTATTTTTAAAAGATTTTATTTTTTAGTAATCTCTACACCTAACATGGGTCTCAAGCCCACAACCCTGAGATCAAGAGTCACATGCTTTACTGACTGAGCCAGCCAGGCACCCCTCCAAAGACTATTTTTAATCTTTGAGGAACAAACAATTTATAATAGCAATAACTAGTTCATCTGGAACAAAAATAATTCTAACTTCTCAATTTGTCTCCAAACTCATTAACTGAATTTGGCAATTTTCAGTGTGTGAATATAAATAGAAATTCATTAAGGTTTATATAAAACTTGGAAAATGGCAAGCTCTTACATGGCTGTTCCTTTGGTCTTCATCACAGCTAAATAACAGTGGGGAGGGAAGGATATGTTGTTTTGTTTTGTTTTGTCTTCCAGAAAAATGCAGAGGAGAAAAGTTGTCACCAATCTTCTCTAATGTTCAAAATACTTTTAGGATATGCTTAATATCTAAAGTATTAAAATGCTGCTCCTCAGAGTTTATGATACATCAAGTATTTCCTAAGACAGACTTGGAATACAGCATATAAAATAAGAAAAGTGCATTATTGTCAGTTTTCACTAACCCAAAGGGTCACAAAGATTAGAGGTAGTCCAGTTCAAATCCTATATAAATGCAAAATCTCTCGACATTCCTTACTATCTGCATACCCTTAATGTGGAGGAACTCTCTACTGACACAATAGTCTCTTAAATTGTGAACAAATACTTTTTACAAAGATTTTCCTCTTACTGAGTCAAAATAAGTGTTTATAAAGTTTGCAATCATTTGTTCTAATTTGTCATTCCAGAGCTGCTTACAGTAAATGTAATCACCTTTTCACTTAAATAGACTTCAAATATGTGGAAATAGTCATCATGTTTCCTTTTTCTTCTTTTTCTTCTAAGCTAAAGATTCCTAGTACCATCAACTACCTTTACTTTATGTCCATTAAACTATAGTCTTCTAGCTCAGGACTCAGCATTGTGTGCTCCATCTGTGACCCCAAACTCCCTTCTCCATCAACCTAAATATTAGGTGTTCTGAAATGTTACATACCCAGCATTCAATTTTTCTTTCCTCCACAGTCTCTATTTAAACAGACATATCTAAATTCTTGGCCAGGTGTCACCTCTATGAAAACTATGCTCAAAATATCACTTGAAATCAGTTTCATAGTTTCATATCACTTGAAATCAGTTTCATAGCATGTTTCATAGTTATAGAATCTCTCATATGGTGCATCAGCCATCATAGGATTTGTAAATTTTAGGCTTATTATTCTCCTTCTATGAGGTTGTGTGTGTGTGTGCATGTGTGCGCACATGTACACACGCACACACACATCCTTATGTGTATGTATTAAGGGAAACTCCATGGTTTTGGAGTTTAGAAAATGTTCCCATACAGCAGTTTTGCATTTGCTTCTGTCTGGGTACAAAATAGTCACTACATCCTGGCACAATTTTTTGACATAAATCCATACTTCACAGTTAAACATACAATTTTTCAGGTATTCATTTTCCTCACTCAAAGCTCCTGGAAAGAGAGAGTCTTCCTCAAAAGCTCTCTTGGTCATTAGGGACTGTTTTTCTTCTCCCACCTTTTACAGGTGACAGTCTATCCAGTGTCAGGGGCTTATTCTGAGATTTCAGCTCCAGATCTGGCCTTTCCCATCTTCCTCTTACTGGTTTAGGTCTAAAATCTCAGCATTTGTCCCATCGTGAGCAGTAAATACCATTCTCTTAAGTCTGAGGGCCTAAATCTAATCTGGTATTTCCCTCAGGCCATTTAGCATCAATGTTGAAGACATTGCTCCGGCTTTAAGTTCCCTCATTACATTTCTGTCACCCAGAAATTTATTCTATCTTTGTTTTGGGCTAAGTCATATACTTACACATTTTTCTTATAGTTCAAGCGTTTATATGAGCATGTGTTCTCTGTGCGTGTGTGCGTGTGTATGTGTATGTGTGTGTGTGTGTTTTCTCAATTCAACAGCTGGCAGAGCTAGAATCACGTTGCATTTCCCAAGAGCTGAAGGATGTGTGCACTTCCACTGCTGTGGAAGGTCAAGCTCTTCGTATCAAAAACCACATGCATAATAAGCTCATCAAAAATCTTCCCAATATTTGTTGCCATAATTAATGGGACCCTATCTTCTTAGTTTCCCAAGCATAAAAGTTTAGTCATTTAAATCCAAACTTTCTGTTGGTCCACACATTCAATTAATCATCAAGTTAATTCTACTATTCATTTCATTTAACATATTCTAGCAATCTCAGCAATTCAGGAATTTAATGAATATAATATTTATCTTTCAGAATTTGAGGAAGATTAAATAAGATAAATAGATCAGATATGAAGCACTTCAAGACTAGAGTTAAGAGAGCGTAAATTAGCTACTGACTAGCCCAAGTCAACTCTGCATTTGCATTTTAATTAGTAATATTTTAAAGATTTCCACAAATTCATATCACACATCTACTTCGAATGTATGAATGAAAACTAAACATAGTACCTAATACATGCCCTTCTCATAGCTTTTATTATCTTTTGGTTTTTATTTTATTGGTTATGTGGAGATGTACAGTATCTGATTTCTCATATAAACTGAAAAATTCGTGTGAATGAATAAAAATTGAAAATGAATTAATTAACCAAAATGTAACCTTTATTCTCTGCCAGGCACTTTTTCATATTTTATCTTACTTAACCATAATAGCAACCCTGTAATTAATTATTATTGTTCTAATTTTACAGAAGAGAAAACTTACATCCACAAAAGTTAAATAATTGATAACAGTCACAGGTACAAATGGAGCAGAACCAGGATTTTAACACAGATAATCTTACTGTAAAGCTGAAAACAAAGCCTACTACACTGTTTGGAATGAGTATATTAATATACCAATAGTTGGGTTGCTCTTCTTTGGGAAACTCTAATTTGTCAAGCCCAGTCTCAAATGTGGTACCCAGAACTAAACTCCCGTTCAGATTATACACATGGAAAATGTGATGGGGATTAACTTTATAGTTATGAAGAATATATGGCTTTCAATTTAATAATGAAGTAGATCTCAGTCATGTGACAGTGTTGACTCAAATTGAGTTCACACGCAAATAAAATGACTGACTTTTTTCTTATGAACTATTCATAAATTTTTCTTCTCCATGTTATGACTGAGTAGTTGTGTTTTCTTCACCTGGAAAAGACTTAAGATGTATTCCAATTAAATTGCATCTTCTTATTTTTCATCCATAGCAAAATGTAGATGATATTATTGAAGAAGTGAAAAATATATGCAGTGTTCTGGGGTGTGTGGAGACCAAACAAATTACAGATGCTGTAAATGAACTAAATCTAATTCTTCGGAGAAAAACAGAGGTAAATACACTCACTTATTGGACAGTAATTCTTTAAAAGCTGAGTTCAATAATTCATTAAGGAGAGTGAAAGAAAAAAAGAAGAGTGAAAGAATTTCTGTGTGTCTGTGTGTGCACATATGCATTTCAATCATCTGGGGCTAATGGAAACTTGATTCTATTATACCAAAAGGATTTAATTAAATTAAGAGAAATTTCTTACACATTTGAAGTTTGTAACTGCAATATATCTTCCAAGTGAGATTGAAGTTAATCCTACCATCCTACCAAGAGGAATATGCTTATATAATAACATTTATAGGCAAGTGTTTTATAGACTATTAATGGCTCTCATGTGCACCAGGATATGCAGGGGTAAGTATCCATGCTTACATGGACAAGCACACATACAGGAAAGAAAAGACCAATTTTTGCGCTATCTTTTGCTGAATTTGCAATGCCCGTTGCTTATATGATCCCACCTTATCAAATAACACCATTTATTCTACTGTTTAAAAAGTAAGTATCATGTAACTTTTTTAAAATCTCAGGAATCTGACATAGAATTACATGTGTGATTATTGCCCAAGAAAAAGGTTAGGAAATCTGGTCACAATAAATCCATTCATTTGATCTTATTATTAGTTTAGCAAATGATGAAGTGGAAAGATATGATGATGATATACTACTTGAGAGTGCATTGCAATAATAAAATAGTTTCATTTATTTATTATTTCATTTTTATTTTATTTCAACTCATCCTCATATCAATGCCATAAAGTTGTTATTTTAATGTTAATTATATTATTAAAATCTGATGCTTAGAATGCTTGTGTACAGAGGATTAATAAGTGGCAAAACAGAGATTTGAACTCAGGCCTCTTCCTCCATATATGTGAAACTTCACAGCAGAAAGTGATTACATGCATTCCTTATCTGCATGGAAAGGAACAGCACAGACTACCTTGAATATGCCAATGTTCTTCTGTAAAATTGGAACAATAATAATTAATTATAGGGTTGCTATAATGATTAAGTAAGATAAAATAAGAAAAGGTGCCTGACAGCCTCTTCCTCAATATATACATGAGACTTCATTACAGAGAGTGATACATGGAAAGGAACAGCACAAGCTACCTTTAATATGCCAGCCTTGAAATTTCAAAAAGATTGATTTAGAAAGTGGACAACTGTATTAGTATAAATAAATCATCATCATTGTTTCAAATAGATGACAATGGAAAAAAATCAGTAATTTCTTAATGTTGGATTTTGTAGGTCTTATTTTAATTAGCACTTGTTTTTGTAATTAGAGAGCAATAATGAATGTAGAAATTTAAATACCTTATTTATATTACATAGTGACAGTGATGATTCAGGAGTAGTGGAATCATCCTACCAAAAGATTTTCCAGATAAGCATCTATTAAAAGCTAAAATCCCAAAGCAAAGAAGAAATCAAAATTTAAACAATATAATCAATAAATATAAAAAGTTTTATGTCATGAAATTAATAACTGTTTATTACAGTTTTCTTAATGGGAAAATATCTACTCATATCTTCCAATTATAGACGAAAATGAAATAACTACATAGTCTCTAAAGATGTTTTTATATGTACATATTAATATCCATGTTCTTCTCAAATGATAACAAGGTAAAAAATTTGAAGTGATCACATTTATTCTGGTCATATTTTTTATTCTGTGTCAGAGTGGGAAAATTATACATAGTCTTGAAAACCCTATCATCAGTATGTTGTGAATATAAGTCTTTTGATGAACTCAAAAACTTAAGAATTTTATGATACGACAAAGAGCTTTCCAATAGCTAAAGTTAAGTCCCGATAACAAGGTAGTGAGAGTTAACCTTCAACTAGCAACTAGTTTCTCTTAGATGATCACATTTGGGAGACATTATAAGTGTCTAGAGCTGATGAGAAAACACAAAGAATTGAGGGTCATGCAAATAGGATTTGAACTCAGTAAGTTTTTAGCTGAACATCCTTAGGGAAAGTAATTCATATCTCTGAGTTTCAGCTTTTCTCATTGCATGCATGCATGCATGCATAAAAAAAGAAATAGATACACAGATAGATAACAGAATTTGCAGGGTTTCTATGAGCATTACAAATAATGCTAATAAAGGTCCAGATGATAGTGCTTCTTGCATGAGTCATATTAATTACTAGAGGCAGTGGGGACGCTGCTGGTGGTAGTTTTTGAGACTCCTCCCCATGTAGCCAACATGAAGGTTTTAATTTGCACAAGTACCACTTAGGTCCTCATTTTCTCACAATCACTGATTATAGCAAGCTTCATGACAGATATGAGCCTTTGCCAGAAGAGAAGACCACACGCATGAATGTGAACACATGACTTCCTGTCTGTTAAGATCACTTGGTTGTGCTTCAATTTTATGTCCAGCTCTCAGTGGATCAGTGCACTGAATCAGTATGAACAACAGCTCAAAGAATGAGGGAAATCTAATTTTAGGATAAAGCACTTTAATGCTATTAAAATATTACTAGATAAAAAAAGTTTTATCTTTAAAACATTCATTTTTCTGAAACTCCCTAAAAGAACAAAAATAACAATTTTCTCAGAAATATCAAGACTTCAAGTAGAGCTGAAGCCAAAAGAATCCTTCAAAGAGAAATTGAGTATTTCCTAGGAAAGCTATGAACAATTATAATTCTCAAAAAAAAGCTCATATTCACATTTCACATCTCTTATATACCTATGAGCACTCAATTATTGTGATTATTGACACATAAAAATAGAGTTGACAATCACAAGTTTTATTTCATATATGTCAATGGCAAAAAATAGTTTAATACCCCTTAATAAGCAGATTCTTATTTTGAGCACACTTCATTCATATCACCTTCATTCAAACGTTTTGTTCTTTTCTTTCTCCAACGTAACCATGAACCCACCTCTATAAGAATGTTGATACAAATAGTAAGTACATTTTTCAGAATTTGCGTAGTAACCAACTGCAGTTAACAATGCCAAAGTATCTCAGTGTGTCTACCCACCACAAACTAAGATTAAAGAAATACTGAGAAAAGTGAATCTTCTGCCAACAAACTCAAATTTGAGAAACTTTCCTTTCTCTTGGCTGAATTTTTTGGTCAACTTGTAAGAGACTATTTCCTGCCATACAGAGAAGTAATTAGGTATTTATTAAATGGAAGTTTTGGCAAGATGATGAATTATATCACAAGTGCAGTTATACTCTTGTTAATGTTCTCAGCATTGGAAACAATTTTCCATCCTTCAAAATTATATTCCAGAATCTCACATAATATATTTCCATTACATGTTCACACAATAAATGAAACAAAGTGAAAAATATGGTCTTACACATTGTGCTGTAGGTGGATGTCATGGTGATTTTAAAATACAAGTTTATATTTCTGAATAAATTGAATCCTAGTTAAGTCAGGCTAACATCTTTAATAGTCTCACCCACATGGATGGGGTGAAGATCTTATGTATTGTTATTAAGCCTAGTGGTTGAAACCATGCTCCAGTGAAATATTGTACCTAAAAGTAATGCTTCTGGAAAGATTCACGTGAAGAATGCTTTTAAGTTGAAAAGCCATATATACATATTAAATTACATTTTAAACATGACAGAAGTGTTTTCTCTCTAAAGGAATATTGTAGCAAGTTCTTTGTTACAATAAAACAATTATTCCTTTGAGAAATCTGGCTTTCATATATTAAAAACAAACTTGTGAACCAAAATTTCAAAAAATTTAGCATTAATTAAAGTGGATCATATTAGAAAATGTGTTTGCTTTTGGACTGAAACCTTATTTTTAGTGAATCTGTGAATCACCTTATATAGTTTTCATGATAATCAATTTATCATCAGCAAATCCTAAACCACTGAAATAATTCTAGGCCTCCAACAAATATAAATGTAAGTAAACAAACAAGCAAATAAATAAATAAAACCATACTAATGGATGTGAACTAAAATGACAGCAAAAAATAAAATTTCAGGTAGTATTTTTTTTTAAGTTTATGATATGGTCACAAGAGTTTTACTATCAGTTTTTTAAAACCCCCTAAAAATAAATAAAGAAATGAAACTATATCATGAGTCTGTATAATTTTGCCCCCTTCCATCCAGCCCTCTTCACTGCAGCCCAAAGCTTGCAACTGAATAACTGCTAATAAGAAGAACTGGACACACTAAGCAGATAATTAAAATGCACTTTTTTCAAAAAATCATTCACTGCTGTGGAAGGGGAACTGAGGTTAGTCAATATATATAGAACTGTTCTAACAATACTAAATAGGCATAACTTACTTTAAATTTTTTCAGTCAAAAAAATCCATATTGTTTATTAAAACATTCAGAAGGCTTTTCTTTCATCTTACAATTTAGCTTCCTTCTATTTATTATCAGTTTGATTGTTTTGTGAATTTGTTTTCTTAAATAACAATTGTATCTTCACATTTACTTTTCTTTTCAGAATTTTCATGAAAATTCAGAGACTTCAGCAAAAGGTAAAATATACATGTACCCACATTAAAAAAAAAGAAAAAAACAAGTTATAGAACCCAAGATAATTCATTTTCAATTCTTCATCCAAATATCAGGGTAACACACAGAAATGTTTTTTGAAGTGAAAATGCTTTGCTAAAACTCTTTACTGATGGAAGTGATTATTCTGCAAGTGAATAAAAATCCACTCTCTAAACTTATAGCCTGACATTTTTGAGAAATGGGAAAAGTCAAGAGATCTATAAAAATGAAAGGAATACTGAAAATATTCTTAAAACCATTCCAAGAAACTATGAAATTTTATTTAGCTAATTATATTTTAATGTAAGAGAGTCAGAAAAGTAGCAGATGTCTTTCTTCAAAGTCACTAATTTCAGATTTAAAGTCAAACTCTGTTTGAAAGACCAATCTAGCATAATATGTAGGAGGATTAGGTTCTGGAATAATTAGAGTTCACAGAGGCTCTGAGCCTATAAAACTGCAAGCCACAGGAGGATTTTGCCTCTACAGAAAATAGTGGGTGAGTGATAGTGTGGTGTAGAGCAAGGGACCCAGCTTTTGGAATCTGGTTAATTTCAACTCTGCCATTTTTTGACTGTCATCTTAGAAAATTAATTCTTTGATCTTAAGCTTCCCTGATATGCACAAAAGACATGCTAGTATTTAATGTGCAGGGTGTGGTCAGAGTTGTTCCTGTTTGCAAAAGCAAACGGTATTTGGCATATTAACACTCTAAGTAGCTTCAAGGAAACTCACTCACAGATGTTCAACTCACACTCCAGGTGTAGAGTTCAAGTGAAGTGCAAAAGATAACCTCAACCTGCCCTCCAAGCCTTAGTCATTTTTAGGAGAAAGTTATGGGCAGTGATGGTATCTTCTCAATTCTAATTTCTACCACTCAAAGGAAGACACAATAACATGTGAAGAACTCCCCCACTTCATATCGCAGAATTAAATGGGATGGCAGAAGGCATGGAAAACAAACAAACAAACAAACAGTGTAAAAATCCCTATTCCAGACATTCATTAAACTCCAGAACATCATAAAGGGAAGGAAAAGATAGACACCCGGTAACAATATCACTAACAGAGCCCAAGTGATAATCAGTCAAGCTGGAGGTATGCTTATATGGAATTGTACCTCTCTTCATTTCTTTTAGGAATGCTGGAATAAAAATCCCTTCAGCCCATACTCTTCACACAAAACTGAGTAGGAATGTTCCCAAGGGTTTATATTCATGCTAAATCATAACAGATTCTAATTAATACATTTTAATCAAATATATATAGTCACTGTTTCTAAATTTTATGATACTATAACTCTTTCCCCAGAGTAAAATCAGGTGTGACAAACATTATAACTCCATATTTTACCACCAAGCCCAGTATATTGAGTCTCTAGCACATTTCACATAGTTCTGGTAGTAAAGCATAATGCAAAAGCACACATCACTATACTACCTCAAAAAAGCAAATTATAACCAAGAACTGTATTTCTGCACAAGAAGTCAAGAACAAGAGTTTGAATAATTATCCAAATAATTAAGATTTCCCAAAATATATGCTGGGGCTTAAATTAATAAGATCTCTGACCCAACCTTATGATTTATTTTAGATGTGTATTCATTTGCACAAGATTGGAAATTATTAACTAGAAGTTTGCACTTCCTGCTTCAGAGTACCAAAAGCACAACGTGGGAACTGGGAAATATGTTTCTATAAATTTATAATTCCCTGCCTCTGTTGTTCAGGAGAATCCCTGTTGGTAGGCCTCTAGAGTTGGATGAGTTCTCTTTTTAAAAACTATTTTTACGCTACTTTACTCTTGTTTTTTTAATTGTTACTGCTGATTTCTCAGGGAATTTTAATTAGAGCTCTTCCATGATGCTCGTCCTCTCTGTTTTAACAAAGGACACCACTTTAAGTAAAATTTGGCCATCTTATAAATTTTGTACAAATTTATGAATAACTAAGTGAATAATAGCATGTGTTGAACAACAACAACAAAAATGTTTAATTGTGGACAGACCTACTGAGGGGCAGGATGTGGGAAGAAGCTTCATGCTGAAAAGTCCTGTTTTATGAGTAGCCAAACTGCTATTGGAACAGAGCAGACTAACAGAGGAAAAAGCTGGCTCTTTATATTATTTTCTTTGGAAAACAACTAGAAACTACAAGCAATTTATGCTTCAGGAACAACTTGATGGGGCACCTGGGTGGCTCAGTCTTAAATGCCTGCCTAGCTGAGGTAATGATCCTGGATCAGGCCCCTCACTAGGCTCCCTGTTCAGCGGGAAGCCTGCTTCTCCCTCTCTCACTCCCCCTGCTTGTGTTCCCTCTCTCACTGTGTCTCTCTCTGTTAAACACATAAATAAAATCTAAAAACAAAAAACAAACAACAAAAAAAGAAACAACTTGATAAGGAAGTGCACGTGTTTGAAAAAAACAGTACTACCGCCTGACTTGGCTTGGCACGCATCAAATCACACCAAATCACAGACGTTTTTAAGAAGGAAATTTCTAAAGATCTGCTTACTCATTCTCTCAATGACTCCTCCCTCAGCTGCCTGCAGGTTCAGTCACAGTGTTCCTCTCCGAGTAATTGCGGGTGCCCCAAGCAGACCCGGAAGTGCACCGTGCCACCGCCACTGTGGGCGGGGCTGTGTGCCGCAGGGGTGTCTGGGATCCCATCTGGGACACAGAACAAGGTCCTGATCAACATGTGGGCGGGGCCGTGTGCCGCAGGGGTGTCTGGGACCACATCTGGGATGTATGAGGACAACGTCCTGTTCAACATATGGAAGCAGAAGCTGGAGTTTGGAGAACTGGGCTCCCAGGCTGGACCACTACAAAGGCAAGACCGTGCAGCCCATCTTCCTCATCAGGTACTCCCAGTACCACATGGATGCCTCCTCGAAAGAGGGTTTCACTACCGACTCCCCTAGGTGGCAGAAGGTCCGACTTGCAAGCTTGGCGTTGAGGCCTAGTAAAATCGAGCGTTCCTCCAAGACCGAGGCAACAGAAACCACGACATCATCTGCAAACACGTGTCAGGGGCCTGCAAAGTTAGCACAGACTTGCGGAGGGAAGGCGCCCCCATCTAGCCTAAGGAGTCCAAGTCTCAGTGGAAGCCAGAGACTGAGGGTATTAGGAAGACAGAGCCCGAAGGGAGGTGTCTTCCCAAACCATCCACCCGGCAGACGCCAGGCAGCAGAACAGTTCTGCCATGCAGTGTTTCGCAATCTGGTGTGTCTGGGGCCACGCTTCCTCCACCCGGCTGGCTCCGCCTCATCCGGGACAGCCACCGCATTATAAGCTCAGTGGTCCCACCCACTGGCCAAGACCGTCGGGGAGACAGGGTTCAGGCCTCCTAACAAGATCTTCTGCTCCGGAGGGGGGCTTCGAGGCTCCGCTCTCCTCCGCCCTGTGCCCAGCTCAGTGGGTGCCACTATGGGTCCTCTCCTCAGGCTAAGCTGTGGTTCTATGGCATTTCTCCAGGACGAAGTGGCAAAAAAGCAGAAATATCTAAAATGTGGCATTTCAGCATGTTCTGGCCCAGGATGGGAAAGGATGGCTTTCAGATCAGATCAGCCTGATTTCTTTCTCAGGGTTTTCTGTTTTACACGTGTCTACCAGAATGAACCTGTAGGATTTAAGGCCTGTTTCCAGGACTGGACGAAGCCTGACAGAGGCTGTGTGAGGACGACAGACACAGACAGATGCACACCGAGGGGTCTTTGACCGTGACCACAGCTAGCTGTGCCAACCCTCCGGAGAGTCCTTCAGCCAAGGCCGTCAGGAATGAGGGACTACGAGGAGGGCACCAGAGCTTCCTTTAACAGCTTATTTCACTTCGTACCATCTTTTCATTTCCTAAACTCTTTAATCGCTTAAATATTTGTCAAAGATATTCCTGATCTGGTTTAAAAAATAATGTTTGAGCTTTTATATTTGAGTTTACTCATTTAACTTTTGAAACACTACTACAGTGGAATATTAAAAACAATCACGGGGCGCCTGGGTGGCTCAATGCGTTAAGCCTCTGCCTCCAGCTCAGGTCGTGATCCCAGGGTCCTGGAATGGAACCCCGCATTGGGCTCTCTGCTCAGCAGGGAGCCTGCTTCCCATTCCCCCTCTGCCTGCCTTTCTGCATACTTGTGATTTCTCTGTAAAAAAAAAAAAAAAAAAAAAAAAAATTAAAAAAACAATCACAAGTCATGAGCATATTAATGTATGTGTATATTAATGCATACAAAATGTCAGTAATGAGAATTATTCACTGGCCCCATTAAGAGGTCCGACACTGAGGTCCACCCATGGGATAAGGTTCGACATCCTCATAAGCTTCTTCATCGTAATGCGTCATCTTTCCTGATTTTGATTTCTAAGTTCATAATCGGTACTATCTGGTCCATTGCTTCAGTCTTTTCTTCCATACTCTTGTTTTTCCAGGAAAGAGAGTTTATGGGGAAAACAAAGCCAGGAAAATTTACCTTAAATTCAGTGGTTAGTCTTTTCATGTGGTTTAGGATAAATTGGTACGCCTTTATCTAGTACATACTTGGAACTCTTGCCCCTTGTCCTTAGTCATTTTTTTTTTCATTTTTCTACCTTTGTGACAAGTCACTTTTATGAATAATCCATAAACCTCTCTTAAATAACTAATAGTAAAAGTTAAGTAAAGCTTTGATTTTGAAGAGATTTAGTAAGCATCTTAAATCTTTCATTTCAGGCTTATTTCAGATCCCAGCCAGGTAGTATTACTGTTCTCTTTTCAAAGGCAGGGCAATGTATATGATTAGTGTTCAGTTAATGGTTAACATCATAGCACAGTCAAATGTATTATGATTCATTTTTAGATGGGATTTGTTTGAAATACTTAAAAGTCATGTAGAAAACCTGTTTGTTGTCTGAAAATTAATCTAAAGAAATCATAAACTAGAACAAAAAATATTGCAAATTATAGAATGCCAAATTAATAATCCAAAACTCTGATTTATGATTAAAGTCCATGCTTCCAAGATTTCTGGAACTGAAGATATGAAAGCTTATTGATTATCTACACTACTATCAGCTAATTCAGGCTGCATATGGAGGCACAGATGGCTAATTGGCTTCAGTTGGTGGATGGTCATTTTAATTAAATTTTATTTAAAATTTATCATAAGAAATTTCAAAGCTATAATTGGTGGCTTATAGTAAGTATGGTCCTTCAAAGATGACCTGATTTCTATCTCCCCCCCCCCCCCATTAGGCTTGATAGAGAAAGTGACAAGTGAACTATCCAGGTCAATCTACCAGCTTATCAATGCCTATTGCTACAGCTTTTATGCAGATTTCCAGCCTCTAAATGTACCTGATGAGATCTCCTATGTAAATCCTGGGCTCCATTCCCACCTTAGCTTCACAGTGTATGCAGTTCACAACATTCCAGAGATTTGGGTGCACAGGTAAGTGGTGGTGAGTTTTTCATAAAAAGGTGACTTTTTTACTTGGTTTCTAATTAGAGTTTAATTTGTTCTTATTTGCAGGAGCAAATATTCCATAAAAATTTTGAAATTTAACCAGTATAGATTTATCTTAAAACCATTTTTAAGAACTTCATTCCCAAATGCACATTCCATTTCCCTCAGTCTTTTACCATTCTTCATATTAAAAACTGCTGCATATTGCCAGTATATCATTAGGGAAACAGAGACTGCTCAATCTATTTAGTGATTGTCCTAATTTTTTTTAATGTTTGAGTTTAAATGACTAATGCTAATTAATAGAACTGAGAGAGAGATCGCACACACACAGGGAGTAGTCACTCTGATATCTACGAAGTTATGAGTGGTAGGTATTTTGTGAAATTAGTACCTTGATAAAGGAAGAATTAGCCAAGAATTATTTGAGTTACAATTGAAATTAACCACAAGTATGCATGGAGGAGCATTGCTAGATTTTAGGTTGTCTCTATTATATAGTATTTTTAAAATAACATCATTAGACTAATATTATAACCACTATTTTAAATTCCTTATAGATTAAATCTATAAGAAAATGTGGATTAAATCAATTCAAGTTAATAAAGGAATAGTAATTTATAAATTTTATAAATTTATAAATGGATTTACTGTACCCACTGTATTTTGCACCTCAAAGAAAAGCTGAAACCATTTCAGTAAAAAAGAGAAAAAATTGCTATATGTATTTTTGCAAGTAACTGACCTGTACACGTAGTTATAAAGTTAATTGGAAAGAAAAATTTATCTTTGTATGTAAAAAATATTATCTACCTATGTACACATACGCGTATTTCTTTCAATCCATGGCATGAGGGGTCCCTGGGTGGTTCAGTTGGTCAAGTGTCTGCCTTCTACTCAGGTCATGGTCTCAGGGTCCTGGGATTCAGCCCTGTGTCCGGCTGTCACTCAGTAAGGGGTCTGCTTGCCCCTCTCTGCTCCCACCCCCCTGTTTGTGCACGTGTGAGCCCTCTCTCTCTGTCAAATAAATAAATAAAATCTTTAAAAATCAATCAGTCACTTAATCCATGAGATGAGTATGTAAAAAACACTATCTACCTACCTACACAAACACATATTTCTTTAACCCATAGGATGATCTTTTATGCCTCTATTTTATGAAAATGTAAAGACCTGATGTATAATATCAAAAACTGCTATTCTGATGGTTTCTTACAATATTTAATCATTAGTGAATACTTACTAATTTTAATTAACATGGAAAAGCTGTGTAGCCAGATAAATATGGATAAAACTATATGTGCAAGCCTGTATGTATATATGGTGTGGCAGTGTTGTTAATTTTTTTCCATTTTTTTCTATCCTCTGCTTCACTTATTTCTGCTATAATATTTATGATTTTCTTCCTTCTTTTAACTTTGGACTTAGTTTGTTTCTTTTTTTCTAGTTCCTTCAGTATATAGTTAGGTTGTTTATTTTTTATACTTCTTATAATAGAGGAATTGACAACTATCAACTTCTTTCTTAGTACTGCTTTTGCTGCATCTCAAGTTTTGTTATGGTGTGCGTTCATTTTCATTTGTATCAATATATTTTCTAATTTCCCATTTAATTTCTTGTTTGACCCAGTGATTGTTCAAAAGTGTTCATTTCTGGGGCACCTGGGTGGCTCAGTGGTTAAAGCCTCTGCCTTCGGCTCAGGTCATGATCTCAGGGTCCTGGGATCAAGCCCCACATCGGGCTCTCTGCTCAGCGGGGAGCCTGCTTCCTCCTCTCTCTCTCTGCCTGCCTCTCTGCCTACTTGTAATCTCTGTCAAATAAATACATAAAATCTTTAAAAAAAAAAAAGTGTTCATTTCTATAAATTTGTTAATTTTCCTGTTTTCTTTCTGCTATTGATTTCTAGTTTTATCCTATTGAGGTCAGAAAATACGTATGGTTTGATTTCAGTCTTTTCAGATTTGTTAAGACTTGTTTTGTGACCTAACACATGATCTATGCTAGAGAATGTTCCATGTGTTCTAGAGAAGAATGTGTATTCTCCTGCTATTAGATGGGATGTTCTATATTTATCTGTTAGGTTCAGTCTTGTTGTTGTATTCATTATTAAAAGTGGGCTATTGAAATCTACTACTATTGTGTTGCTATTTCTTCCTTCAGTTCTGTCAATGTTTGCTTAATATTTTTGCTCCAATTTGGGGTGCCATATGTATTTACAATTGTATCCTCTTGACAAATTCACCCTTTTTATCATTATATAATATCCATCTTTATCTCTTGTGATTTTTTTTGACTTAAGGTCCGTCATGTCTTAAGTATGTAAGGCAAGCCCTACTGTCTTTTGATTGCCATTTGCATGGAACATCTTCTTCTGTCCTTTCACTTTCAGCCTATATGTGTCCTTAAATCTAAAGTGAGTCTCTTATAGGCAGCATATAATTGGATCTTGTTTTTTTTATCCATTCAGCTATGCTATGCCTTTTGATTCTGGAGTTTAATCCATTTGCATTTAAGGTAACTAATGATAGGAAAGGACTTAACTATTGCCATTTCTTCCACTGTTTTCTATTCTTTTCCTCTCTTGCTGTCTTCTTTTGCATTTTGTTGACTATTTGTAATGACATACTTTTTTCTAAATTTTATTTTTTATTTTTTTAAAAGATTTTATTTATTTATTTGACAGAGAGAGATCAAAAGTAGGCAGAGAGGCAAACAGAGAGAGAAAGGAGGAAGTAGGCTCTATGTGGAGCAGAAAGCCCAACGTGGGGCTCGATCCCAGGACCCCGGGATCATGACCTGAGTGGAAGGCAGAGGCTTTAACCCACTGAGCCACCCAGCTGCCCCTGTAATGACATACATTGATTCCTTTATTTTCTTTTGTGTATCTTCTATATGTAGGCATTTTCTTTGTGGTGACCATAGGCCTTATGTAAAGCATCTTATATTTTTAAAACACTCTTTGTTAAGCAGATAACAACTTCAGACACTTAAAAAAACTCTATTCTTTTTTCTCCCCTTACCACACTTTATGTTATTGATATCACAAATTACATCATTTTGTTTTACATATTTTTATAATTATAGCTTTTTAATACTTTGTCCTTTACTTTCTATACCATAGTTAAGAGTGGTTCATGCACCATTACTAAAGTATTTTACTGTATTCTGTATTTGTCTACATATTTATCTTGACCAGTGCCCTTTGTACTTTGGTATGCTTTTGTGCTTCTCTCTAGCTAGCATCTTTTTATTTCAACTTTGAAGACCACTGTTAGCTGTTCTTGTAAGTCAGGTCTTGTGGTGATGAAATTCCTCAGGTTTTGTTTCTCTGGGAAAGTATTTCTTTGTCCTTTATTTTTGAAGGACACTTTTGCCACAGCAAATATTCTTGACTAGCAATTTTGTCTTTCAGAACTTTGAATATATCATCCCACTCCCTTCTGGCCTATAAGGGTTCTTTCTGCTGAGCAATCTGCTAATGAACTTATGAGGTCTTAATTTTATGTGGTGGATCACTTTCTTCTAGCTGCTTTCAAAATTCTTGTCTTTGACTTTTGATTATTTGATTATAATGTGTTTTAGTGTGCTCATCTTTGGGCTTATCTTAGGTTGGTTTGTGGAGCTTGAATCTGGGTGTCCCTTTTCCTTACATACAATTGAGAATTTCCCATCTATTATTTCTTTAGATAAGCTTTCCACCTCTTCTTCTTCTCCTCCTGGGACTCACATAATGTGTGTATTTGTCTGATGGATGATGTCCTGGAAGTCCCCTAAGCTTTCTTTGCTCTTCTTAATTCTTCTTTCTTTTTGTTCCTTTGATTGGATAACTTCAAATGATCTGTCTTTGAGTTCACTGATTCTTTCTTCTGCTTGATCAGGTCTACTCTTGAACCTTTATAAAGATTTTTTTTTTTAATTCAGTTATATGTGTGATTCTTTTTAATATTTTTTGTCTCTTTGTTTATAATCTCATTTTGTTCATGCATCATTTTCCTGGTTTGTTGAGCATTTTTATGATGATTATTTTGAATTCTTCATCAGGTAATTCATATGGTTTAACATTGGTTTCGGAGATTTATTTTATTGCTTTTGTTGAGCCATATATCACTCTTTCTTTGTATCCCTAGTTACTTTGTACTGGAGTCTGTGCATTTGAAAAAAATATAGACTTTATAGATTGGTTTCATACAGAGAAGGAATGTCACCAGTCAACACAACTAGAAACTCTGGGGCCTTTCAAACCTTTTCTCTTCTCTGGATTTGTGTGTGTGTAAATTCCTGATTAGAGAGGTTTTGCTTCTTACTTCAGAAGCTCATAATTTCTTGTTCCCCCTCGTATCTGTCTATGGCTCTTCAAATTTGTTGGTGCTACTGTAAGCTCACCAGCTGTTTTTGTTTGTTGATTATTTTAGGATTTTATCAATTTATTTGAGAGAGAGAGAGAGAGCATGAGCAAGGGAGGGGCAGAGGGAGAAGCAGACTCCCCACTGAACAGGGAGCCTGATAGGGGATCATGACCTGAGCTGAAGGCAGACTTAACCAACTTAATACTGAGCTTAACTGACTGAGCCAGCTGGGAGCCCTACCCCCAGCTGTTTTTGGTTCTCAGCTGTTCCCTGGTATCCTGAGTATGCCAGGTCCCATCCATGCTATGAATTAGGTAAGACAGAAACCAGTCCTTCAGGCTGCCACCCAAAAAGCTAGAACACTGGACACACACTCTGACTCTTTTTCTCCCCAAGTAAAAGCCAGAAGTTGAACACTTTTTCCTGTTCATTGTGCACTGAGATGGGAAATTTTCTTCCTATTCATTTTGCACTGAGAATCCAGAAGTTGGATTTTTTGTTGTTGTTGTTGTTGTTCATTTGCACTGAGTTAAGAATTTTTTTTTTCCTATTCATTTTGCACTGAGATAGCACAGTGGCAAGTGAATTTGTTCTAGTTCAAACTATTGATTTTGTTCTCAGAGTCCCCCATAGGCAACCATTCCATTCATCATTTATATTTAGGCAGGGCTAGCTTCTGTCCTTTTAGTCCCTTGGATAACCTCTTAAAAAGTCTGAATACTAGACATATGTTCCAGTCTTCTCTTTCCCACCCCAGGGAAAAGCTAGGAGTTGGGAGTTTTCTCCTGATCATACTGCACTCTGTCAGGGAAGGAGTTCTGGAAAAGGAGTGCCACAAATTCTCCTGCTGATTTCTACGTGGCTCGTTTGCACTTGCCTGGAGTGCATGAGCTTCTTGTTTCTGAATTCCTCACAAAGGGAATTGATCTGTGTATGGTTGATTTGGTGCTTCCATGGTGGAAGGAGAGTCTGGGGCTTTCTGCTGTACCATCTTGCAGATGTCACCCAACATAAATTTTTAAAGTAATTTTTAAAGCATACTTTATATAAGCAGATAAAACTTTATCATTAGACTTTTAACTGTAAAAATAATTGACCCATATAGAAAACTGGTCTCTTTATAGCTTTCAGCTTATTGAATCAATTTTTTTTTTTTAAGCTATAAAGCATTTTCTTTTTCCTGTTGGCTTACATATGCTGGAAAGAAGTTGTGCCAAGTGAGAAGCTACAGAAGTATTCCAGTCAAAAAATTGTTTTTTCTCCTGGTCAACTGGAATGAAACGTAAGTTTAATCTTTATTTTGGCAATATCATTTATCTAATAAAGATAAAGGATTCCTTTTTTCTCCTTTTTTTTTTTTTAAAGTGGAAGGTGTGTTTTTTTTTTTAAATACTGCCAGTTGGTTTGATTCAGTGATGTGATAAATATGCTCATACTAATAGATAACTGACAATATAGTTCAATAGAATAAAAGTCCATTTAGAAATCTAGACAAGCATCCAATCCACATTATCAAACTGATCAAAAAGGGGAATTGAGAAAAAAGAATAATTAATCATTCACAGACTGTGGATATAAGAGATACCCTCTATTTGGGGTTGAGAGAAGTAGATTCTAGGTAAAACAATGAAGAAAAAATTGCCCAATAATATGTAATCTCCACCTTCCCATTAAAGCCAATTATAAATTTATTTAAACAGTCAAGTTTTTTTTATAATAATTATCTATGCATGTGTAATTTACCATCTGATTTTGGTTGATTGGCTCCTACTTTCTCGTTTTATAGAGATTTATTAAATCAAAAAGAAAAAAAGTACCTTCTTGACATAATTCATTCCTTCTTGCTCTCCTCTGTCTCATCCCTCCTCCTTAAGTCCTTACTTTACTCAGAATCTCAGGGTGTTCATAGGCCCCATCTATGGCTATTTCATGATTACTTCCACTTTTCCTTGCTGTTCCTATGACACTACTCCACTAGCTTTCAGTCATTTCTGTGGGGTCACCAGTGCTGCACTGATACCCGGTTTTCTTCCCACCTCAAACAGAAGAAAACTAATTTACGTCTCATCAGCACTTTACCATATCTGGCTTTCTTGGAAGATGATTTGACTCCCCAATATTGGGCTTTTTCAGTGGGAAATATGTGCTAAAATTTCTGGGACTCAGGATGGTGTAAGATGGCAGCACTTATCGTAATCTTAATATTACCACAATCAATGACATGTGGCCTTCAATTTTTACATACTCCATGGTTCCTTCTATACAAAGACAATTCCTCCTTCCACTAGGACTATGACAACATTTATCTTCCCTTCCTTGATTAGGTTCTTAATTCCTTTGACCAAAGACCTGATCTTCAATTACAAAATCCTCTTCTATTGCACAGAATGAGTTCTGCTTGTAAAATTCATCAGTGGTTCCCCAATTCTCATAAGCTAAAATACAAATCCTGTGGTTTGGCCCCTATCCTGCACCTTATCTCTGAAGTTAGCCTTTTCAGTTCCAGTTGTTCAAGTCGCATATTTATGGTGAATAACCTCTTAGATCCCATGTCCAGTAAATCCTACAGGCTCTCCCTTCAAAATATTTCCAGACTATTACTTCTTATCACTTTCATTAGTCTAGTCCCCCATTCTCTCTCCCCTGAATTACCATAGTTGATATATAATGGTCTCCCTTCTTCTCTTGTACCTCTATAGTCCTTCTCACACAGTGGCTAAAATGACTTCTTTTAAAATGTAAGTCAGGCTGTGTTATTATTCTGTTTAAAAATCCTGAAAGGGCTCCATGTTTCACATTACAGAAATCCTTATAATGGTTTATTGCTATACATCAGTATTAAAAGGAAAGTTCTAAACATATGACTTAATTAAATCTCCCATTTTCACTATGAAAAACTCACACTGATCTTAGGAAAACTATCTCATATAGAAAAAGAAAACATTTCAGAAAAATTTAATGTTTATTCATTTTTCAACTACAAAGCAAGGCAAATATATGGTCAAAACTTGAGGTCTGTGCCAGCTGCTTGCATAAAAAGAAGCAATTCACTTATTGATTTGTCCCTTTAGTATTTTCCTTCTTTTTTTTTTTTTTTTTGGTCTAAAAGTTCATTCCTTTGAATTTTTGATACCTATGTAGAAGTTAAAAAAAAAAAAAGATTTTCCAGCAAGTGTGAGATTATTCTGGCTTTAAAACCCCATATGTGTTCAAGAAATTAATTAATAACTATTTAGAAAGCATGTCTTCTTACTGTAGAAGAATTTATTTTTATTAATAAAAATGACAAAATGGAGAGTGATAGTAACTATTCACTGTAACCTATTAAATTTTTTCATTCTTGATATGAAAGCTCACTAATAAGTTATACTTGAAGAAGCTAGACTCAATGAGAAAAAGAACACTCTAGATTATGTGAGGAATAAAGTGAAATTATAGCTTCCATTCTAGCACAGAAATATGAAAACCAAATAGAAAATCAATTACAAGTGAAGGAGAGAACATTCAAGAAATTATTATGCATTCCACAAGATCATCAACATTTTATGTTGAGTTTCAGAGCTTATTCCTGGCTGAGAAGTATGTCTACATTATCTTCAGTGGATGTTTTGAGTATGAAAGAATATGAAGTAAAAGAAAAACTTTTGAATATCTAAATGTAAAACAAATTAATTTTTTAATAGTCTAAACTTTGCTAATCTTGAAAAAATAGAGTTTCTTTACCATAGTCTTCCCTTTATTTCCCTTCCCTACTTTTAACTAGAATTAAATTTCATCTGTCTACAATGGCTAATATAAATTACTACATTATTGATTGAATAATGAATGTATTGTTGATGTATTGCCACCATTTGCCACATATTGTCTTATACAATGTTTGATCCATAATATTGATAAGGAAAAAATGAGGCTTACTTGTCATAGGGCCAATATTTGAATGTAAATATACCCAGATCTAAACTTCTGACTTGTCCTCTCTGCACAGCTTACATATTGATATCTCGGAGTTATTATCAATCAATTATATCTTGCCTTAAACTGCACATATTACCCCAACCCAGTTTCCTCCTCATTTTATACTTCTGTATCAGTTAAAGTTATCTACTATAACATAATCTAGAAGGCTAGAATTCATCTTTAATTTTTCATTGTCCTATTCTACTAATACTCTGTTAGTCAAATATTAGTTATTCATTTTACCTCTAAAATAGGCCTTCTGTCTTCCGTCTTGTTAGCTGCTTTATTGCCACCCTGGATGTGGGGCTCTTTATCACAGGGAAGAGCATATTGAGGAAACGGGTATGTACTTCCTCAAAATCAGTATGGCCACTAAGCTGAATTGATGCCTCATTATTTCTTAGGCTGGGTACTGCCCAACCACTAAAAGAGGGTCACCAATGTCTTATTTGACTCCTTACGTAAGGACTTCTCTCTGATATCCAGATCAGACAGCCAACTCTTACTATGAGAAAATTACCTGAGGCCTCAGTCAGCACCTTCCAGTTGCACATTGGCTTTGGTCATCATCAGTCCTCCACTAATTACTTACTGCTTAAATAATTTGATGTCAAAATTCAACTGGGAATCACAAGGCCAGTGGATTCTGTTTATACTCCTCATACCTAATACCATCAGATATCATACAATATAAGCTGTCCCATTTGCTCTTCCAGTCACTTTTTTTCTTTTTCCCATCCCTTGATGAATCAGTTCCCATAAGTTCACTTATCTGCTAACCTCTGTTCAATTTTTCCATTTCTTCCTTGCATTTTCATTTTCTAGCAAACATATTGCCCCATCTAAGCTTCTTCATGTGTTTGATTTCCTTGTCTCATAAATAGATCTCTCCTAAATGCTATACGTGTCTTGATATTCTTATAATAGAATCTGATCATTTCTGTATAACTGAGATGACTCCAAAAAGGAAAGAAAGGTACCTTCTCCCTGTCCTCCATTAGAGATCTCAGATCACACTCCCAACTTTCTGTCAAAGCTTTTTCTTATGTCACCCAGGTGTATCCCTCCTAGTCTTTATAGTATCATTTGTAACCTTCTAGACATTCTCTTTTATATATTGATGAATTCAGTATCTGAATTCAAATTTTTCTCACCATGAACCATCCTGTGTTTATCCTTGGCCACTTTTTTTTGCCCAATATCTACAATCCATCCAGGGTCTGTATTTAGAGTTCCTTCACCTTGACCTATCCAGAAATTGGTGTGTCCATTACATTTTAGCAATCATCCCCCCATGCCTAGGGATCTCATCATTACCCAGAATGGTTCACATTTAAAATAGTAAACAGCTCTCTATACTTTTAGCTGTCTTGTTCAAATATTCCCTTTTGCCATTAAGGAAAAGCTCAAATTCCCTTGCCTGGCCTACAGAGTTCTTAAGCATTCTGGCAACTACCTACCTTTTTAATAACATCCTCTGTAAATTCCCCAATGAACTTGACCACATCCCTCATTCTATCCATAAAGAGCTACTCACCATTTCTCAGCTACACTTAATCTCTCCATGCATAAATGACCTTATTTATGTACTTTTCTCTTCTTGGAGCATTCTTTTCTGAATCTCCATCTAATTATAGCCAACTTACTCTTTAAGACACATTTCAAGTTATTTCCTTCCTTCCCCCATTCACTAAGACGATGTTAGTCATTCTTTCCTCTGTGTTTACAAAGAGTAAATTCATAAGTCATTATAATTTTAAAAATAAGCTTACATGTCAAAAATTGTAATTAAAGCAATCCCATTGATTGAATAACCAATCTCATTACTCTATGTATTTCTGCCATATTTCCGTTTTTACAAGATCAAACACAAAAGTTCAAAAGGATCCCTCAATTCAAAAAGTTGGTTATATCACATACCATTTTATTAAAAATATCTATGAAAATATCATGGTAACTGGGTAGATAATCTACTTTTTTCTTTTATTTTAAGGATCAATTTTCCTCTTGAAATAAAGTCACTTCCAAGGGAATCCATGCTCACTATAAGATTGTTTGGGGTTGTCTGTGCAACCAGTAATGCCAATTTATTGGCTTGGACTTGTCTTCCATTGTTTCCGAAAGAGTAAGTATATCATTTGTTCTTAATAAAGCTCTTGTATCAATAAAAACCTCCTTGGAAATGATTATTTTGCAGTATATGGAATAATGAAAAAAAGAAGAAGACTTTTTATTCCAAAACTGAGGTAGCTCAATATAAATCATGACTATTGAAAGTGGAACTGAAAAGCAAAAATGTAGAAATGGCTTTAGAAAGAGGCCTCATGCTCAACTTGTCAACTGGATCATTTATAATAAAAAAATATTGGCATGACCAATTTCAATTGCTTTTCCTTCTCTGACCAACAGTTTCTCTGGCATTAGTAATTCAGAATGACTTAGATCAATACAGTCATTTAGAAACAATGTGAGTCATGGAATTCTGGCTAAAGTAAAATTTTACAGTGTAACTGGTCTGCTGATCTTTATTGCCAAGAAGAAAATATTTGGTAACTTTAAGATGAAATTTTTCAAGAAAGCAAACCAACTATGAGTTCAGATAGTCTGTCAGAACTAACGGCCATTGCAAAATTAACTGTTGACTTAACCATAAGGATTTGGAATGATTAATACTGAGAATATTTGATAAAGTCAGTAACATGGTTTTCTGTGCTATTAAAGAAAGAATATTTCAAATAAATCAGCTTAGTTGTTTTTCATATGGTAGTACTTGCTTTATAGTTGAATTTGGGTATTAAGGAGGGCACATATTGCATGGAGCACTGGGTGTGGTGCATGAACAATGAATCTTGGAACACTGAAAAAATAAAATTAAAAACAAAAATAAAAATAAAATGCAAAAAAAAATACAAGACCTTCAAAAATTAGAATATATATAGTTACTTTAATATTGTTATAAAGAATGTTTATAACATATAAAATGTAATAATAAAATAATAAAAACAATATAAAAATGCTAAGAAAATTTATCTGTTTTTGTTCCCAAATTTAGTCATTATAAATAAATTATAATCAAAACAATTGTGATAAATATTTAAGATCATCTTTGTTGGATTAATTCTGATCTGGTGTGTGTGTGTGTGTGTGTGTTGCTCTATTACTTGTTTTCATGTACCCATTTCCACATGTATATTTCTTGTTGACAGTAATATATTTATCTTTGTAGTAGCCATCATCTAACATTGTACCTCTTATAAATAGACAATCAGTGGAGGATTGTTTATTAAATTGAACTAGAAAAAAAATCAACCCTATAGGAGATTTAGGATAAAGTAAAATTTCAAAAGTCTATAAGAAATTCTATAATCCTGAGCTGCCTGGCTGATTCAATCAGCAGAGCATATGACTTTTTTTTTTTTTTAAGATTTATTTATTTATTTGAGAGAGAGAGAGAGAGAGAAAACATGTGAGCAGGGAGGACTGGCAGAGGGAGAGAGAATCTCAAGCAGACTCCTCACTGAGCATGGACGCCAAGGTGGGGCTCTATCTGATGACCACGAGATCATGACCTGAGCTGAAATCAAGAGTTGGATGCTTAACTGACTGAGCCATCCAGGTACCCCAAGCAAGTGACTCTTGATCCCAGAGTTGGTAGGTTCAAGCCCCATGTTGGGTATAAAGATTACTTTAAAATTAAAATTTAAAAAAAAAAAAAAAGAAATAGTTTAGCCCTAAAAGGAATCCTACTGCAGTTAGCAGATATATCAAAAATCTGATTTGTGGGCTAAGGACTTTGATTACTTTCTCACTAGGAGCAGCTCTGCAAAGTGCCCTTCCTTCTCTTGAGTGAGTTTCACTAAAGTTTCAACTCCTGTATTTGTTACATATAGCATGTTTGTAGAATAAAAATTCTAGCTATTTTCTGAAAAAATTCAGTTCATTTTATTCCCTTCTATCATCTAATATATTACTTTGTGCAAAACATGCAATCAATAAACATTAAATATATAAGAAGTTTGGAATATATCTTTCTTTCAGATGAGATTGGGTGCGTTCAAGGTGGTATGGCCATAGACTGTATCTGTCTTTCAGACTAATCTTCAAGGACTTTTTTTCCTAGATAGTTATGATAGTAAAAACACTGCCTCCATGTTGTTTCCTCATGTATCACTTACCATTAGTAAACATTTTTATGTGAGTGCTTATCTTTAGTAATGCCATCTGGGACTGACAGTAGATGGTGTTTTCCTAAGGGAAAGAGATTGAAATTGTGGATGATGAGACATCATATCAGAAAACAAAACTTATTTCAAAGAGCACTTTGATAAGTACTTATAAATATATTTCCAAAAGATCATTTCTCATAAAAAACAGAAAATCTGCTTCTCTCCTGGGCTAAACAATTAAAAAAAAATCCAGATCTTTTCAAGACATCAAAAATCCACCATGTAGGGCAATTAGGGAATGTGATGACTCCCACTGGGTTCATTGCTCTGAGTGACAGAGATTCTAACCCAATTTATTTGATGCAGATATTTCCAGATCACAACAAATAAGTCACTTAATTTCATTTCCTATCATGGAATGACCCCTGTCCATAAACATTTCGTATTAAATCTGTCATTTATTACAATTTGACTTGCCCATACCTAGCTATGTGAAGTTGTCAAGAACACTTATATCCTTATTTTTTCCAGCCTACACACAACCTGAAAATATGCTGAATTAAAGGCTTCCTATCCCTTTGTCGTTTCCAAAGTGGTTTTCAGAAGAACCACGGGTGATTAAACTCAGATATATAGCTTATGGCTGCATCAGGAATGTCTACAAATAAAATAAACTTCAACATTTTGAAGCACACAAATTCACGTTCAGGTGTATAAAAAACATCCAAAGTACAAAGGTAAAAGTTGGCCCACAGAAGTTTTATAATCCTCTCTTTTGCAGATAGAACTTCCATTGCATTTATATTCACAATGCCTCCGCACTGCAATAAGAACATCTCAACAGTTTCTGTGAGCTACCTTTCCTACTTAAATTCAAAACTAGTGTGGAGTTACTTAGGGTTTCTAAATTGTGGTAAACTCTTTCAATAAATAAGTCTTCAACATCGAACAATAAATTCCCCTGGGGAGATTTTAAAATAAATCCCAAACCCAAGTGTTCCCAAATATTCTGATTTAAGTGGTCTGCAGTGGGGTCCAAGTATCAGTATTCTCAAAGCTCTCTGGGAGTGTTAAAGACCAGAAAAATTAGAATCTTTTCAGATTTTCAAAAGAGACCCAAAACAAATCTTAATTTCAAAACAACTTGACTCCTCAGATTGTTGCCTATGTAGCCAACCCTGACCCCACTGTATCTTACCATTTCAGATATATCCTCCAAATCAAATATAAAAAATGTTGTGGGTGAGAATTCCTTATTGTCTACCCTTCCTATCAAGAGAGACCCACAGAGTGCAAATAGTACAAATATCTCATTTACAAATGAAGATCTCTATGATAAAGGAAGGTTAAGAGACTTTTCTATAAGTCACCAGACTAGAATAGAACAAGAACCAGAATGTAAGTTTGATTTCTCTCTACGTGTGTTACTACCTTAATCTGCCACCCTTCCTGCCCTTAGGTGTCACACCTTGCTCCACAAATGCATTGTGACAATCTCAACAACATACAAGAAGCTTCTGCCTCAGCTTTGCCTGCACTCTACTCTTGGGCATGAAACCTATTAGACCTGTGATTAGCAGAATCCCAAAGAGTTTTATAACATCAGATCCTATGGACATGCTGGCTGCCTCTATCTGGTGTCTTTTCTATTCTTGGGTCCAGGATGCCAAGCCATGATGCACATAACATCCTATAACGAAAAGTGACAATAATTATTTTATTCAAATCTTTTATTTCATAGCTATAGGACCAGGGGCCCAGAGAGGGTAAACCAGCATCTGTTCTGGTGCCACAGATTTGGGGTTGGCTTTTCTAGGTATAGGATTTAAACAATGTTGAAATCAAACAGATCCTTAAGGATATTCCAGAACCAGTATTTTGAAATGTTCTATTTAGCAGTGTGTCCCTTTTTCTAATGGTATCTAATTCAAAATCTCAGACTTTTCAAAATCTCAGAGCATAAGAGTGATAACCAGTTTATGTGTTTTGTTGGGTGAGGAATGGGAGAAGGGGAGAATTTAAAATCCTGGCATCCAAACTATTTGCTGTCTCCTTGCCACCTTTCTAAAGTGCACCTCCAACCATCAAGCCATATGAAAACAAACAGAAAACTCCTTTGAAAACCACTGATTTTTTAAAAAATATTTTATTTATTTATTTGACAGAGATCACAAGTAGGCAGAGAGGCAGACAGAGAGAGAGGAGGGGAAGCAGGCTCCCTGCTGAGCAGAGAGCCCGATGTGGGGCTCGATCCTAGGATCCTGGGACCATGACCTGAGCCGAAGGCAGAGGCTTAACCCACTGAGCCACCCAGGCGCCCCGAAAACCACTGATTTTATCCAAGAAGATCAAAGAAGTTAAACTTAGACTACATAATGACGATAAGATACAGATGTTCTGATAGAGTCTGGTGTTTTTTTTCTTCACAAAGGAAACTATTTCCCATTTCCTCTCTTCATTATGTAGTTAATTATTTGCTTAATGTTAAATTGATTTAATAAACCTTCTAAGAGTAGTAATATAAAAAGTACTTCAGTCCCGACTGGCCTGTGTATTAGAAGTTTCCGTTTTCATCTTCTTTCTGAGATCACCGTCTTAGATGTGTTCTCTTCACATCTTAATTCCACTAATCATCTTCATCATCACCATATTTTCTATTTACAGAAGTCTTTGGGAATTTATTAAATATTACAGATAATATATTAGAATATATTAGATATTAGAAATATCTGTTTGTAGAGATGTTTGCAATATCTCAAACAATGTTTAAGTACAATCCATTATCAGAAAGTAAATTAGCTGGGGCACTTGCATGGCTCAGTTGTTAAGGGTCTGCCTTTGGCTTGGGTCATGATCTCAGGGTCTTGAGCTGAGCAGGGAGCCTCTCTATCTCTGCCTAACTCTCTGCCTCCTTGTGATCTCTCTCTCTCTCTGTGTCAAATAAATAAATAAAATATTA